GAGAAGGACGCCATGCTTGCGAGGGTGGAGGGACAGCGCAGGAGGGGAATTAAGGTGGATTGATTCAGTGACTGGGATAATCGGGATGGGAGTGTCAGAGACAGTGCAATTGGCACAGGACAGAGCAGAGTTTAGGGCTGTTGTACATAGGGTCGCTATGAGTCGCAAGCAACTCGACAGCACATAACAACAACATGTCCCAGTGCTAATTTCAATAACACCATGTAGTTTAACAGTTTAGAGAGAAAAAAACGTATTTTGCTGATACCTAAATTTTAAGTTATCACTGTTAAATAAGGACATACATACAGCAATTGTCTTATTTTAAAATACTTCATTTATTTAGACATTGCTACCTACAATTAATCACCTAGAAAGAAAAATGCTAAAGTAGACAGGATTTTTTTTGCCATCATGTAATTGGCATTTACATGAATAATTTTTTTCTCTATAGTTAATATTCATGTCATCACGAAATGCCAATTAATACTAGCAACAAAATTCATCATTTATTTGAATAGGTAACAAGTTTGCTTACTCTGCTTAATAGTAATATAATTCAGATATGCCAATTAATACCAGTAACAAAATTGATCACTTATTTGAATAGGTAACAAGTTTGCTTACTCTGCTCAACAGTAATGTAATTCAGTAATTTTGAAGAAGTATGGACTAAGTTTACTTACAAAAATGGCATAATTACTGCCTCCTAAACTTGATCTAGGGAGCTCTGGTGGTCTAGTGGCAAGAAGCTGCACTGCAATCCCGAAGGGACACAGTTAGAGGCCACCAGCTGCTCCACAAGAAAAGGATGGACAATCTCCTCCTGTGTGCTTAACTGCCTCTGAAAACCTGCTGGAGGGTCAGCTATGAGTTGGTTCCAACTTGGCAGTATACAACAATAACAAACTTAATTTTATGGATAATAACAAATGAAATTCACTGCCACTGAGCAGGAACCAATCATAGCTGACCCTCCTGGAGGTTTCCAAGGCTATAACCAGCATGAGAGGAAATTGCCCAATTTCTGCCAAATGGTTGTTGGTAGATTTAAACTGCTAAAGAAGAACAGTCTTTGTTCCTAAGGACCGAGCCACTGGAACTTCTTGTGCTAAGATTAAGGGGACTTAATTTGCACTAATATTTTTTTAGAGTATCTATATTCATTTAACTTTTTCATATTCCACAATAAATTTTGTCTACCTCACATTTATTCTAATCACTTCTTTTTAGAATCTTAAGATTTGTTATGTCTTTAGCAATTATCAATGGATTTCATTCTCTTCCACTCGCTAAATCTTTCATGTGGTTATTGCTAGTGTATTAACTTTTCAGAACTTTTCTAATTTAATACAAGGAATGCGCCAGAGGCAGAGTCAATGGTAGATTGTGCTGCTTACCAAGGGCATAGCAGTTCAAATCTCCCTGAAGCTCCATGGGAGAGACAGACAACCTCCTCCACTGTGATTTACCATTTCTGAAACCTGCTGGAATGTCAGCTGTGCCATGATTCTACCTCAAAGGCAATGAGTGAGTGAATAAGTGAGTGAATCCATTATGCTACAATTAATTAAAATGCAATAAATGACTTTTTAAAGAGGAGATAGGATGAATCTTTCTAACTGGCTCTTGAACAGCTGCTACATTCTGGTCAGAGAATCCTTGCTTCAACCACAAATGTGTGCTACTTGTGCGAGTATCGCTGACAAATACTTACACAGCCATTCTGCCAATGGGTACAATGACCCTCTCATTGACTCTGCAAAAATTCTGTCACTCTGCCTTTACTGTGTGAACACAACAAACAAGAGAATTGCCAATATTGTCTCCATAGCAGTGACACAGAAGACTTATCACCTAACACAGGCCTGGATCCAGCTCTGACTTCTACTTAGTCTCTCTTTGAGAGCACTTGAATGTAGGATAAGCATCATAGAATCAACCAGATCAAGCAAAGTGCTATTTCCTCATGTCCTAAATCTCCTCCTCTCCCAGTCTCCCTGGTTAGTTGTTGTTATGTTTGCTGAGTTGACTACAACTCCTAGTGACCCTATGAACAGCTCTTACCCTTGCCCAATGCTATACTATCTTTACCATCTCTGACAAACTTGAACCAATTGTTAGTCACTGTCTTGTAGAAGGTCTTCCTTCCTCTCTTAAGCTGACCTTCCACTTTTCCAAACGTGATGTCCTTCTTTAAGGACTGTCTCCTCCTAACAACATGCCCAAAGTGTGTGAGGTGAAGCTTCCCATCTTTGCCTCCAAAGACATTCCTGGTTTTACTTTCTGTAGGACAGACCTATTTGTTCTCTTGGCAGTCAATGGGATTTTCAATATTCTTCTCCACCATCATAACTCTGATGCATTGATTCTTCTTCTGTCATTCTTAGTCACTGTCCAAGTGTCAGATGCATCGCAGGCTGGTAAGTAGCAGGCACCACTGTCTCTATTGGTTAAACTAGAACCCTAGATGTCATCCTTGATGCCTCTTTCCCTTGTCCGTCCATCTAAGCCAACCACAAGTCCTCCCAGCTGTGCTACATGGCCATTTCTTTCCACCCACTGGGTCATGACCCCAGTCTATGCTACGACCATCTCTTATGAGCATTTGCAATGTTGTTATGTACCATCGAGTCAGAAGCGACCCATAGCTGACCCTCCGACGGATTTTCAGAGACAGTTAATCACATGGGAGGAGACTGCCCATCCTTCTCCTGCAGAGCAGTTGGTTATTTTGAACTGTGTTCCTTTGAGATTGCAACACAGCTTCTTGTCAATAATAACCTCCTATTATTTCTGCTTCTCTTTCTGCCCCTAAAATCTATTTTCCACCAAGCAATCAAAATTATCTTTACAAAAAACAACTAGTCAGATCACAACGATATATAAACTTCTGTAGTGGCTTCCTGTGTACGGATGATAAAGCCCGTAAGAGAAAAATCAGTAGGGTTTCAGTCTGCGGTGTGCAAGGCCACTTTACTCTCTCTCTTGATGGTGATGCCCTTCCTCCTATCAAGGTCATCACACCAAGATTCCTTCCGAGAATGACCTTTGCACCTGCTTTTCTCTTCCCCTGGATGGACAGCTTTTTCAGCCATATTTCCAAGTCTCCGTCCAAGTGGCTCTTCTCAAAAGCAGTCTTTTGTGACTGCTTACTCTGTAATTTTCAATCACATTGTGCCACCAACAATTCTTAGGAGGTACACATTTCATTCCATTTTCTTGCCTTGACAGCATGCATTCTTTAGCTAAATTATGTATTTATTTTTAATATTTTATTATATTTTCTATGCACATATTTATTTATAGATTTTTAGGACTGTAAACAAATGTCACTTTCTCGGTGAGTCTTTCACTAACCTCCTCCTTGTCCTACATAGTCCCTCTCACTACCAAGTCCATCTATGTACTTATTTACCTGGTGCACTGTCTCCCAATTACAATGGAAACTCCATATGGACAGGAACTGTTATTTATCTCTTTATTATTATACCTCTAGTGCCTAGAAAAGTGCCTAGCACACAGTATCTTTTGAATATATTAAAATTCTTCTCTCCAGAATATAATATCCATGAAGGCAAGACCTTCCCTAGCACTCACTGTGTTATTTTCAGGGTCCCATTAGTGAAAAGTAAATGTTGATATTCACCAGTAGCAAAGAGATAGAAACAACCCAAGTGTCCATCAAAGAATGTATAGATGGAGAAACTAGAGTCCTCTCACACAATGGAGTGTTATTCAACAATGTAAAACAATGATCAATTCATGAAACACTACACAACATGGACAAGTCTAGAAGACATTATGTTGAACAAGAAAAATCCATCACAGAAGGACAAACATTATATAAGACCTCTGTATAAAAAGCTAGAGAAAAGTTTATACATAGAATCATTTTAATTTTAGTATGCTTACTAGAGAAGGGAAGGTAGAAGGGTTGATAATAAACACTAAGGTGAAGGCGAGGGCAATAGAGAATGAATGATCGATCAGACATTGTGTAGACTGTAAATGATGTTATGGAACAACATGTATGAATAACTAAAGAAACAATATGCTTTGTAAACTTTCACTCAAATAATAATAACTTTAAAAAACCCCAACAAACAAAACATGAATGTGGATAGGTTGGTAAAATAATGAGCTGGTGAATGGAGAAAAGGAGTCAGTGGGAGGAGGTGAAGGTGAGGCAGGGCTGCGTAAGAAATGAAGCAGCTAAGTCAGAGAGAAAACAAAGTATATTCTACTTTGTACTAAAAAGTCTCTCATATGCATCAAACACTCAACACCAAGCATTGATAATCTCAATCTCCAGGTACAAAATTGAGATTCTTAAATCTCTGAGAAGGCTGTTGACCCAGTGTATGTTTTCACTGCACACTCTGAATTAAAAACAAAAGAAAACATGCACATGTACTAAATGATATAACTAATTAACTGTTCTTTTCAATAGAATCTCTGAGAATCCTTCAAGAAAACCTGTGTGGTGAATCTAAACAAAAAGGAAGGTTGTGGGTGTCAGTGACAGGCAATCTATTAATGAAAGGGTTCATGTTATTTTCCCTCAAAGCCAGAGAGAAGTAGTAGAGAAGGGAGCAGGAAAGAAGGCTACTAAAGTCATCAGCAAGCAGTAACTATCTGATTTGAAAAAGTGTTTTTCTTTGGTTTTATGAATATTCATACACGGGAGTTCTGGTGGCCTAGAGTTGTACTGCTGCCAATACAAAGGCAAGCAGTTCAAATCCACTAGATGTACCCTGGGAAGAAATAGGAAAATTACAGCTTCTGAAAACCCACTGGAGGGTCAGCTAATGGGCTGGTTCCTACTTGAAGACACACAACAATATCTATGAAAAATGGATTCTGTGAAGAAATAACAAAGATGAAAAGAGAAAATGCATGGGCAAATGTGGAGCAAAAAACCCACTCAGTTACCTAGAGTACATGGCCATGAAAATAACATTCAAAAGCATCAGCTAAACAGAGGAGTTTCCAAATACCTGTGCCTTCCCGTATCTGGCCCGCGGACTGTGTGGGTACTTGCGCACCAGTTCTTCAAATGCCTTCAGCGCCTCCTCAATTTTTCCCTGTTAAGAAGAGATAGTTACAGAAGTACAATCAATTCATATGTACAGTTATATAAACACAGGTAACAATGTTCATCAAGTGATGATTTTAAATTTCCTCCACCTCCCTATGAACTCTAACTGCCTTTGAAAACATGCTGTAGGGTCAGCTATGGGTTGGTTCTGACTCAGCAGTACACAAAAACAGCAACAATAACAACAATCACTCCATTCTGATATTTAAAACAATGCTATTTAAGATTGTTGAATGTGAAGAAGATCCAAGATGGCGGCAGAGGCAGAGACAGTGTGGTGAGCTGCGGTAGTAGCGAACCACTTAAAGCAGGGCCATTATGGCCTTCCACAGACTTCGGCTTATTGATAATTGAACACTTAAACAGTTGATGACTGGCCCTCAGTGAAGATTGAAGCTCAACAACAGGAATTCAAGGATTCCCAAGGAGAA